GCTTGTATCTGCACTTTAGTGTGTTTCCCCACAATCTCAAGTACCACCATCCACTCAGCAGAGTCTGCCTTTGTGTCTTGATTCCCCTGCCCAGATTAAGAAAGCTGGCAAGCATTCTAGAATGTTCATTAGCTACAACAACAACAAAAACAGTCCATACACCTGCTGTGCTCATGTATACTTTCTTTTTCCTGTTGAGTCATTGAATGACCCTCCTATGAAGACACTTAAATGAGTGTATTCTCAGAAATTTGGGAGCAAAATACTATGTTTTCTTTGTGGAATTTATAAGTGTTTATGTCTCAATATATTTTTTTTTTCAAAATGAATGGCACTGTCTATGAGGTCTGGACTTCATTACTTATTTTTACTGATGTTGATATTGTTACATTTAGAGGGAAAATGTGATTATAAAATGTGACTGCTTCTCCTCCTGAATCCTGGTGATTACACTGTGGGCAACTCAAGGCAGCATTTCATTCACTTAACTTCCACTGGCTTAGTCACATGACCCATTGATGGCTTGTCCTTATCACAAAGAGGCAATCCCAATATATTTTAAGCAAAAATTACAGCAAAGAAAAGGTACATTTCAGTGGGAAAATTTCACCACATTGCAATTTGTTCTATATTTTCAATTAAACCTTGCTTTTTGATAAACATGTCTTCAACCAAAGATGGATATCCCATGTTTAAAACAAAACCCTTACCATCTGTTTGATTTTCAGTTTGCAAAGAAAATAGTACCATCAAATTAATTTTCACTGAAGTATATTTATTATGTGCTGCGTTAGATGTCCTTTCATATAAGAGCTACTGCCTTCCCGAAACATTTCCCAAGAGACTCATGCACAGATCTCTATCCCTTTTCTCTTCCACCCAGAACCCTGTTTGTTAATAAGTATTAATAAGTCCATAGAATGCTCTGTAATTATGGTTACATTGGATATGTATGGATATGTATTGATAATCTCCTCTCCTAGACTTCTCTCCAGTACTGTAGGGAACATCTTTGTCTAACTAATTTCTCTAGCACATGACACCCAGCAAATATTTCATTGATGCCAGTTAAATATGTAACTTTAATATTAATCATTTTGGCATTACTATTTTATTTAACTTTTATGGAACAAATACTCTACTCCATGGCCCTACATTTGGGTATATTAAAAAAACATAAAAATCCTGGACTTAAGAATATTCTACTTTTATATTTTTGGTTGTGAGCCTAGCCTTTAACGGAGGCATAGCCAGGCGGATCTCTGTGAGTTTGAGGCCAGCCTGGGCTACCAAGTGAGTTCCAGAAAAGGCACAAAGCTACACAGGGAAACCCTGTCTCGAAAAACAAAAAAAAAAAAAAAAAAAAAGAATATGCTACTTTTGGTAATAGCTGCATAACATTGTGAAGTCATTTAACTCCACTTGATTCTATGCTTTGTATATTTTAATGTATGCACACAGTGACACACACATGAACACACACACAACTGTTGTAGAATATTATTTTAAGGTATGTTACTTTTGTTGCATTTGTTTAACTCTGTTAAGCTGTGTTACTGTGCCTGTCTAAAACACCTGATGGTCTAATGAAGAGTTGAACGGCCAATGGCGAGGCAGGAGAGAGAAATAGATGGAGCTGGCAGGCAGAGAGAATAAATAGAAGAGAAATCTGGGAAGTGAAAAGAGATCAAGGAGCCAGAGAAGGAGGAGGACTCCAGGGGCCAGCCACCCAGCCACCCAGCCACTCAGTTACATAGTGAGCCAGGGAGTAAGAGTAAGATATATAGAACTAAGAGAATGGGAAAAGCCCAGAGGCAAAAGATAAACTGGTTAAGGAAAGCTAGCAAGAAACAAAACAAGCTAAGGCCGGGCATTTACAATTAAGTATAAGCCTCCATATGTGATTTATTTGAGAGCTGGGTGGCACCCACTCAAAAAAAGAGTAAAATACCAACAACAACACACAACTTACATTGTTGGTGAAAGTATGTAGGATCTTAAGTCCCCTTCTGTGTTCCCGTCCTTCTTTAAACATAAGGTACCAAAGGTCAAACCAAAACCAGGGCATCTTGATTCTACGGAATATCATCTCACTCATCCTATAAACAAGATAACAGTACCTTTTATATCAGAAAGTTTATCCCCCAACCTTTGGAGCTTGGCCTTGATAACAGCAATAAATGAAATGATGCTGATTAGTGTTCAAGGCTAATAGAGATCCATGCCTAATGCTACATGGTGGAACAACAGACTACTAGACATAGCGTGGAGCTTAATCAGTAATGGTTGTGTTAGAGAAGTGAAAATCCACTACGAAACCTGCAGAGGGCCCCGGGCCAGTGCTTTTGTTTCTACAGTACAAGTTCACAACTTCCCAGGAATGTGGGAGCATTTATGCCAAAGGTTTAGATAAAAGTCTGCCTCTAAGCTCTATGCTCTTACTCTACCACTCTTCCGAAGACATCAAAAACTCTGGGGCCAGTGAGATGGCTCAGCAAGTAAAGAAACCTTCTGAGTTCCAACCCTGAGACACGCATGGAAGAAGGGAAGAACCAACGTCTACAAGCTGTCCTGTTTCCACATGTTTGCTGTGGGATGCACACCCACACTCAGGCATGCACACCCAAAATAAGCAGATATGGTTTAGAAACATAAGCGGTCGTTTACAAGACATGGCATATTAAGTAGCAATCTGTCACGGGGTTGCTTCCAGCACCTGCCTCTCGTTTCACGTGACAGAGCAGACAGACCTCTGCTCAGTCTCCCTCAGGACAGTCTAAGTGACAGCGCTTTGAAGGGGCCTTTCCTGGACACTATATTCTAGAACATATCCATGTTTTGCAACCTGGTAACAACTTGATCCTTTTCTTTGTCAACAACTGTTAAAATTCCCAAATTTCTATTTCTTGGCTCCATGGCCACCTCCCATATCACTCTGTGGTCTGTGTCAATTTGAAGCTACCTGGTAACTGACTATATGGTGGCTGGCTGGTCATAGACGATCAGTAAATACTTGTTAGGATGAAATTGAGTGATAAAATAAGATTGTATAAATCAAATCAAATCCTAGCTCCACCTCTTAGTAGGTGAGTAACTCCACATACTTTTAAAGTTAATAAAAGGCTGCCTCGATTGCAAAATCAGCACCAACTCAATGCAGAAGCTATAGAAGAAAATAAATGGTATTTTAAAATTCCCAATTAAAAAAAGAAAAGCACACAGAACACTGGTAATGATCACTGCTAGCACTGTGGAATCGCTCTAGGGCAGTGGCTCTCAACCTTCCTGATGCTGCGACCCTTTAATACAGTTCCTCATGGTGTGGTGACCCCCACCCATAAAATTATTTTGTTGCTACCTCATATCTATAACTTTGCTATTATTACGACTGTAATATAAATATCTGATATGCAGTGTATCTGACATGTGACCCATGGGAAAGGGTCGTTTGACCTCCAACGGGGTCACAACCCGCTGTTACAGAGTGTTCCTAACTGATCCATAGAAACAGTTGACAGGCTATTAAGATTGTTTATATCTTTCTTTTGTCACTTGGCATCAGGGCGCAATTAGAGATTTTAAATTTCTATAGCACTCAGATATACCATAATGTAAATTTATAACAATTACCTGTTGCTAGAGCTGATGCCTATATGATGAAGTGACCCTTTAGTTTAAAATTGCACTTCAAACACAATCAAAATACCACATAGACGGATGTGATTAGCAATGGTTTTAAAGCCCAAATCAGTAGCAATTTCAAAGAAAGTTAAGAGACTCCACCACACACACACACACACACACACACACACACACACACACACACACTTACCACACTTACCTATACACTGTACGGACATATTCAGAATCATCATTACTTTGCGCTCCAATGTTCTTCCCCATGGCTGTTTCTGCAAATACAGATGGGAGCCACAGTTTACCACACAGCCAGCTGTGTTTGCTGTGTGGCCGGGCACACTGAGAGACAGGTGAAGCCTGTTCTGTTATCTTCTATTTGCTCTTCTTTGCCCTTCTACACCCCTCCTACTTACAGTTCCTATCATCCTCTCCCCTGGACCTTCCAGGCAAGGTGACATGGTGACTGCTTGGGTCATCCCCCTAGGAATGGCTGTGGCTTCTTGGGGAGAGTCTTATAATACCACCACCCTGAAGGATCCTGGGTCCTTCCCAACCAACGCCATCATTTGTCCTACCCATGGAATCTTTTTTTTCTTTTTCTTTTTCTTTTTTTCTTTTTCTTTTTCTTTCTTTTTTTTTTTTTTTTTTTTTTTTTTTTTTTTTTTTTTTTTTTTTT